CGTGCTAAGGGTGGGCGGGGAAAGTGGGGGGGACAGAGGCCACCCTAAACATCGCAGTCCCGCCTGGCATAGCCTGCTTCTGCGCTTTCCCCTTCCTGGCGGTGTGCTTGGCTAAGGGACCCTCCACAAGCGTGCCCTGGGGCGAAGAGCCCCTTCCCGGGAGCTGGGATAGAGGCACACGTTGCCTGTGTAGCTTCGCAGGCCCTTGGTGCAGGTGAAGACATGCACTTGTCCCCCGTGTTGCTGTCACAGAAGGGGCAGCAGGCTGCCCCGTTTGTTGGGGAGAAGTTACTCAGACCCAGATTGTGCATCTGCAGGCCAAACATCTAAGCCTGTGTTCTTATCTGTTCTTACACGCGTCTGGCCACTTCTCCACTTCCAACTGAGGTTGGTTTTGTCAGGTGCAAGTAGGCTTTATTTTCTGTTACTGCTGCAGCTTGGCTAGCAGGCAGGCCACTCTAGCAGGTGCTGATGCCAGAAACAGATGCGGTGTTTTGATAGCTAAGCCTTGGTTTTGTCTGTTTTCCTCAGAAACTGATTTGGTTTATTTCTGTCTGTTACTGAAACAGTGAAATACCAAGCGAGTAGGCAAAAAGTGTTAAAATGATTACAGCACTAACAGATTAACACAATAGTTGTTTTGGTAACCCATACATCTTGCCTTATCAACACCAGCCTGATTTGTAATCATTCTGTGTCTTTTGCAGCATACAGTCCTGAAACTTTTGTAGTGTCTTATAAGCAGACATCTGTCATGTCTTGGCTTGCGGATCTCGCTGGAAAGGCAGAGGATCTACTCAACAGAGTTGATCAAGGAGCTGCATCAGCTCTGAGTAAAAAAGACACAGCAAGCAGTGCAGTTTATGATAATAAGAATTTGGACTCTGCCAATGAATATACTGAATTCCACCAGCATACTGGAGAACTGAAACATCAGACATCATCCAAAGCAGCTTACATCTCCTCAGCAGCTGATAATATTAAACATCAAAAGGCCACAATCCTAGCAGGAACAGCAAATGTTAAACCAGCACGTAGGACATCTTCGGAGGTTGCTTCTCCAGTGGAAAGTGTTTCCACACCCAGAGCTGCCTCACATTTTGTGAGAAGAAAAAAGTCGGAACCTGATGATGAGTTGCTATTTGATTTTCTTAACAGTTCAGAGAAAGAGCCTAATGGAAGGATGGACTCTAAGAAAGAGAAGAGCAAGGGACCTGTTCTTCAAAATCACTCTCGGACTTCAAGCATTAGTTCTGCGTCTGCCAGTACACAGGGTGCAAAAACTACTGAAGATAGTTCCATCAGGAGCCAAGGCAATGGTAGTTAAATAGTATTGAACCTAGAGATATTTAAAACCCAAGTATGTCTAGGGTAAGGCTAGGTAATGGATTTACTGTCACTTCATGAAACATTTAGTGGTAGTAGTATGTCAGATGTGTGGAGGTATAGCAGGGTCTTTAACATCTTTTCATCACTGGGATAATCTTAGATGCTATGTTAATTTGACAAGCTGCATAATGAATGCCCAAATCTTCTGTGTTCTCGGTCTACCTCATTGCTACTGCTCACCTTGACCTCTCTGAGCTGTGACCTAACCTTGCATCAGCCCCCATACACCCCCACTTAGAAGCACAGGTGCAGCTGCATTTGTTGGATTACTCAGGGGCCCTTAACTCTTGTTGCCACGTAGAGAGTGAGTGACTTTCACCATCTGGTAGGTGGTGTTGGCTGTGGCCCAACGCACCGTGTGAAGTTTGCTCTGTTCCGCCATGGAAGAAGGATAAGCTGTCAAACATGCTTGTCCAGTGGAGTGGGAAGTTGGATGTGGATAGGCTGCTGTAGATGCTACAGGCATGAGAGAGCTAGCTAGATAAAGGCTGTGGATTTGCCTGAAGTCGTCCATTACTGCAGTCTAAATCCAGATGCCTGGAAGAGCCGCCAGGTCAGATGATCAAAAGTTGGGGCTATTCTCAGGTTGATGTAAAGGAGAACATGGCTGGGAAGTGTCACAGAGTGGTAGGGGTTGGAAGAGACCTCTAGAGATCATCTAGTCCCACCTTCCTGCCAGACCAGGATCACCTAGAGTAGATCACACAGGAACAAGTCCAGGCAGTCAGGAACTTGTGTTCTCTATTGGACTGTCCAAGCTATACTCAGTCCTTGCTGTTGCAGTGCTACTTTACTGGTTTTTAATCTATAAAATTGAAGCAAATGGTTATATAATTTCTTAATAATGTAGTTAGACTACTTTATTCAGTACTTTGAGTGTGTAAAGCATTGTAAATCCCATTTTTTTACATACTACATTAAGTATGCTGGAAGGTTTTAGACGTATAAAGGGGCCATTTCCAAAGATGTGAATATTTTTCTATTTCTGAGTCTGTAACCTTTCAGTAAGGTTTACTACTACTAGTACTAATTCAGACATGTTAGACCTGTCTATATGGCCTTGTTGATGGGTGCTTAAGGAACATATTTGTTTTGCTCAGTGTGGCCTGTTGAATTTTCTTCTGAGGATTTTTGAGTGGAGTTTGCATTGTGGAGGTGCTAAATGAGGAAGCACACAGAACAGAGTTTGAGCACACTGGTTTCAAAGCTGATTGTATAGGTATATCTCTGCCATTTAAATGTTTTGTATAGCATCTGTTGAAGTAGCTTATGATACATTACTTGTAGACAAACCAATTAACTTTATACTTTGTACATTGCAATGGATTTAATCTGTGCTATAAATTACTGATTTTTTGCTTCGTTAGCTTCATTAATCTGTTGAGCTTTCCAGACAAGGAAGTGAGGATAGATAGTCTGATATTTGGAAATTGTGTGAATGAATCAAAAGGAAGGAAACAACACTTTTTAGAGCCATTTAAATAGGAAATAGGTTTGAGAAAATGTGAAAGAAATCTTGCTGTCACTGCAGTTGCTTGTCGATGTGGTGGTGTTCAGAAAGAATAGTCTGCCCCAGCTCCCCAGGCTGTGGGTGGTAGGGGTTGTTGCAGTGGTAACAGGGAAGGTTGGTGATCCCAAGATGAAGTAAATAGGGTTGTGACAGCTGAAATGTTGCTTGGAATTAGTTACAGTCTGTCCCCCTGGATTTTCAGCAGTTACTCACCTGGGACCTATTAAATTCAGAAGCAATATTTTTGGACTGATTGCATGCTATGTTGTTTTATCTTAACACTGCTGCAAAGTTCCAACTCTCTGCACGCTGGAATCAAGACTGTTACAGTGGATATATCAATTTCACAGCATTAATCCAGGGCACTCTGTGTGTGTTTGTGCATGCTGGGGAAAGGCTGTTGTTTCCTCCTTCCCTGCAAGGGACTGTTGTTCAGAGTACTGCCAGGAGTTCCCTTACTCTTCTCACTGAAGTTCTAAGATTTAAAAAAAAGAAAAATAAAAATTTGTATCTTGGATTCCATAATCTAGGGAATCACATTTTGTATTGGCAGAAAGCATTTAACAGTGACAGAGTGTATTTACCTTACATCTTTTCATTAAAGAAAGGAGAGATCATGCTTCGGTTTCAGATCACTGCAGCTTGATTTCTCATATTAAAAGTGCTTCTGAAAAAATAATTTGAGAGAATTATTAATACAGAATTATCAGTTAAGATGATGTTTTGACTGCAAGGATTCTTAAAAAGCTTTTTTACATAAAGATAACTATGTAACTATGTGGCTGAGTTACATATTTAGGTTTGATAGCAAAATGACTAAGTGTAGTCATCTCAACATATCTTTTTTTTAAAATAATGTTTACATCCTTGAAATCAAAAGCTTAATGGAAAACCAGAATGAACTTGTACTAAAAATTCCTCTACTTAGTTGCTGTGTATATTAAATCTCTTCAACTCTCAGTTTCTGAAGACATCTCTGGGCAGCATAGTCATAAAAGAGTATTAATGTATTGAAATCCTAAATTTGACATTAGCATAATAAGAAATTTTATAACTTCCAGATTCGTCTTGCAGGATTAATAAAAATGCTGCATGAGGCATATATACTGTGTAGGAGTCCTATATTGTTCAAGTCCCTTGGGAGAAGCAGCTCCATAGTCCATTTCAATATAAGCTATTTTGGTGGTGGTGGTGTTATTTTCATTCTGTGCATTTAGCCACCGATGCAGAACATGGAATTGCTGTTTATATGAAGGCAACGTACATGTGAGTTCTAACTTCCGTCTCTCTGTACAGAAACTCCAGACAGTTCAGATTCTGGGCTGGGAGCACAAGGATATGGTGTGAAGGATTCATTGCAAAGCGCAGTAACTAATCCTAGCCTTTCAGCTAATGATGATTTGAAATCACATGAGCTATCCAATCTTCGCCTGGAGAACCAGCTGCTGCGGAATGAAGTTCAGTCTTTAAATCAAGAGATGGCTTCATTAATTCAGAGGTCCAAAGAAACACAAGAAGGTATTGTGGTTTGGAAACTCAACTCTGCCATATTACTGAAATGCTAGTGAACTAGAAAACGATGCGATTTCTGTTTGTGTTTTGTATTTATAATAAAATCTTTCTAGTTAAATTTGCATGTATGGCTTGCCAAGCAAAATGCTTCTTGGTTTCGGAATAATGAGCTAGGAGATACTAAAAGGTATGTTCAACTACAAAGATAACACAAACATTGATTAACGTTGTGCAATCGAGTTAGTTTCAAAACTTATATCTTATTAAAACAGTGTTAGCAAGTGTTACCAGTATTAAAATACTTTTCCTGCTTTTTAATGTCTGTTGCAAAATACTTACTTTTAAATGAGTAAGTTCCTTTAAATACTTCCAAATCTGACTGCTCTCTGGCTGTAAGCTATAATCTTTGGTGGCTAGAAACTGACAGTAAAAATACAAAGTTTAGTACTTTTTCATGACTTAACTAGCTTTTTCAAAGCCAAATGAAATGACAAATACAGAAAATATGAATGCAAATGAAACATTTAAATGATAAAACCTTGACCAAACTCCTGCTGTTAGGCACCACGTTTTTTAAAAGTAACTGTATGAGCCATGAATGAAATTGAATGAAAATTTTAATTTTCTGTTAAAGTTTAATATGTGGTGTTGGATGAAGAACAGAAGCCTCTGTAAGCATTCAGGCATTATTTCAACAGTGTTGTATTTTTCTACTGGTTTTAAGTTGAGCTTATTGTCACGTTGGGTTGATCTAGATGCTTTATGCAGAAATCTCCAAAGGCTTGCTTGCGCTGGGCTATTCGACAGTAGGCCGTTAGGAGGGGTAGGGCAGGTAAAATTTGTCATCTGCAGTGTGACAGAATGAAACGCCTCTTCTGAGATCACTTGCAAAACTTTAGGCTTTGTGCTTTGCCAGCCAGTCTGACATTCGTTACTTCTTGGCAGCTTGTAAAGTTTCAGTGTCACTTCAACTTGGTTCTGTTTGATTTAAGAGATGGGATGTGTGCATCCTGACCGTTGACAAGACTTTGCAATGCCTACTTTTCTAAACTTCAAAGAAACCTCTGATTTTGTAGAGTTGAACAAATCCCGGGAAAGGGTTGAGAAGTGGAATGTTGACCATTCGAAGAGTGACAGGATGGTTAGAGAACTTCAGGCTCGGGTCGATGATCTGACAGAAGCTGTTGGTGCCAAGGATTCACAACTAGCGGTGCTGAAAGTACGGTTGCAAGAAGCTGATCAGCTCTTAAGTGCTCGGACAGAAGCTTTGGAAGCATTGCAGAGTGAAAAGTCACGGTACTTCATAATTTCATACTCCATAATTCTGCAATTAGTAAGTCTGAAAAGTCAAGGTAGATAATTTATTCTCTTAAGAAGAAAACCGAATAAACTAAAGGGAAAAGGGACTGTATCAATATGTTGTAGCTGGCACTGGGAAAAGGGCAAATGAGTATTAAACGGGCAATTGTCCCCTGATTATTGAAATCCTTTTTCTAGAAAATATTTATGTTTATCAGAGGCTTGAAGCTGAAGATCTCAAGAAAAATGGTTTTGTCTTGAAAAATACATTTGCTTATCCACAAATACAAAGACTTTTCCTGAGTTATCTCAGTGCTGGGATATGGATCAGCAGTTGGATACTCCAGAGAATAGGGAGGAGATACGTGAGGTATTAACTCCAGGCCTCACACCTGTAGCCAGCCATATTCAGTAATTTACTGGGCAAATGTTCAAAGCTGGTCTGAAAACCAGGTAGTCATATTTCTACCTGAAAGTAACACTAGATTTCGTCTTTTTCAATTAACATGTATATCGCTCTTTCAGGATAATACAAGATCACAGCGAAGGGAGCAGTTTGCAAAATCAAGCCCTTCAGACTCTTCAGGAGAGGCTGCGTGATGCAGACTCTGCACTCAAGCGAGAGCAAGAAAGTTACAAACAAATGCAGGTTAGACGTGAAGAGTAAGGGTTTCAGACTACTTTTGAGATCAAATCTCTCCTGTCTTCTCCTTAACTTCGGTTCCTGTTCAGGCTACTAAGTGCTTGGAAGGATGTGCTGTCTGCTGCTCTAAATATCCTTGTGATGCTAGTTTGCTTTTTATATGTTATTTTGAAAGATTTGAGGATTAATACTGAAAATTTTTACTGGTTTTGTCATTCTAACTTTAATGTTAAAACATGTTTTGAAACTCAGTAAGCAATTTAATTTTCCACGCTATGTTGTTGCACAATTTTAACATCTAATCTTAAGAAGATTAAGCTGGGTGGTCATTTATGTGGTAAAGATGTGAATACATCATTGCTGGAGGCTGCTTTCCACACTTAGCTTGGCCTTTGTTATGTGTGATAGCGTCTTTGAAAATCCTTGTCAGCATCTGTTTGGTTTTTTTTAAACCACATCAAAATATGGCAGACTACAGTTTATAGTATTTTTTGAGAGGAAAGCTTGCTTTTTGTTTATCAAATAAATATAAAAAGTGGATTGTTATTCCCTCACTATTTCCAGTGAGAGAAAGAAATGTGTAATTTTACTGATACTATTTGGCACTGGCTTAAGCAAGCAGGATTTCTTTCCACGTAGCACTAATGCATCTTTAAGTTGGAGGTGGTAGATATAAGGTGTTGTCATGTGTAGTTGCTTTTAAACTTTCTTTTTTCCTTTCTAGGTTAAAGTTGAGACTGTTTAAACACAAAGTATTGTTTCTTTTTTACTAATAGAATGAGTTTGCGGCTCGTCTAAGTAAAATGGAAGCACAATGTCAGAACTTGGCAGAAGGGGTAACTGTAGCAGAAAGAAAATGTTTAGAGGAAAAGAGACGAGCTGATGAGCTTCAGCAGCAAGTCAAAGTAACTAAAAACCACCTAGAATCTGCAAAACAGGAACTGGCAGACTATAAGCAGAAAGCTACTCGCATACTCCAAGTAAGCATGTCTGTAAAGAAATCCACTTTGATCTGTATGCTTAACTTTTTTAAGGTGTTAGTCTTCAAATAATCTAATTTTAATTATTTTTTCTAACATGACCTGTAATATATTTGGGGGTATATCTGTAATGATACCTGTACAGAACAGCTGCCAGTCTGCATTTTGTAAATGTAAGTTTACAGGTTGAGTTAAGTAATTGAAACAGAAGTTCAGGTCCTGAATTTAAAGAAAAATCCAAGTGAACAAAATCCAAGTTGTTCACCATCTGTCAGTGTGTTCCGAACTCAGGAGTCCAGTCTTAGGGAGATAGATAAATAGATGTAACCTACAATTTGTTCCACACCCAGTATTCTTGAGTCAAGAATATTGCTCTATTCTGCTTGAGGCTGAAACAAAGCATGTAATGGATGCTCTTGTGTAAATCGAAGAAAACAATTTTACATGTTCTGAAAGGTTGCATGTGATCAGCATTAGATAAGCAGTGGCAAAATTAGGTATTTTGTGTAGAGTTCTGTACTAGTTTAAGTTGTTGAAGACACAAAATCCAAATGTGGTCAATTTGAGTCTTGTTATAAAAGTTAGCAAAATGTTGAAGACCAAGGTGTCTGTTCAGAATAATTAATTTCATCTGATATCCAAGGGCAGGTTTTCAGTCATCTCGATAAACAGGAGAAGCATGAGATCAAAAGTCAGTGTCGATCTAACATTAGGCTGACTCTGAATAAACTGGTTCATCCCCTTTCCCAGAAGAGTTGTTGCTGTATTTGGCTCTTATTTGGCTTTGTTGACAGCAGAAAGGATGGACTGTAAGGGGGTTAGTTTTGTCTTTTGTGTCTGTTGAACTCCATCTTCTTTCTTGCAGTATGTGGAACACCAAAATTGTTCTCTCTCACATGTTTAACATTCCAGGCACTTCTAAAAAGAAAAGCTGTACTCTGCCTCAGATAACCCAGGTTTCCAGTAAATCCAGTCTCATGGCATACAGGAAGTCAGAAAAATTACCAGTAGGGGAGCATTGTCATTGTAAAACGCATAGTGTCATTATTAACTTGGCTAAAAGAACAGATAAAGCAGTTCTTTTATCGCATGTCTACAATTGAATTTTAGAGCAATGTCATTTTGACATGTTCTGGTTGAGCACTTGTTAAATACTGCAATAAATAATATATTGATTTATTATTTCAGTCGAAGGAAAAGTTGATAAACAGCTTAAAAGAAGGCTCTGGTATTGAAGGCCTGGATAGCAATACTGCAAGCACCATGGAACTGGAAGAACTGAGACATGAGCGAGACACTCAGAGAGAAGAAATACAGAAACTAATGGGGCAAATACAGCAGATGAGAACAGAGCTGCAGGTAGCTACGATTATGTGCACGTGTATTTGTAACTAACCATGCACAAAGGGCTACATTCCTGTATACTTTAGGGCTGTTGCTTCTAGTTTTTATGTGACCTAGTATTTAAATAAACCAACTTTTTCTCAAGGTGAGATGAGTTCTTATTGATACTGAACTTCTTTCCACGTTCTCCTTCACCACTTCAGGTCATGTGGGAGGAATCCTATAGGTACCAGCACTCTCTTCCCTCACTACCATGTGCTCCTTCTGGGGGAAGCGTTTCTTTCCAAACAAGCATGGTGATTTCCATAGAGATCACCTATATGCCTTTTTCTGCAAGGGCTACTAATCCTTGAAGCAACTCTAATCCGAGTTGTCTGCTGGCATAATTGGCTCAGCACAGCAGTTACATGCAAGCCTGCTTTGCACAGTTTTTGCCTGTAGGCAATAGAAGGGAAAAAGTGGAGGCTTTTCATCATCACAAAATGCATTTATCTTATTACTATATTAGTAAAAGTATTCTGTATAAAGTGACAAAATGTCTTTTATTGAATATGCCCTCACCTTCATTTTCCTTTGAGCAATATTGCAGATACACCTTGGTTTTGGTGTTACCTATGACAGTTTGCAGTAGTGTTTAAATGTTAGTGAAAAGGTAACATTTCTGTTCGTTTCAGGATATGGAGACTCAGCAGGTGAGTGAAGCTGAGTCAGTGAGAGAGCAGCTTCAAGACCTACAAGAGCAAATAGCAGTACAAAAAATGGCCAAGCAAGAGGCAGAAGCTGAACTAGAACGGCAAAAACAGGTAAGGAATATTTGAAAGCTGATTGGTCTTATTTTAGGCCTCATGTGCTATCATCAGTAAAGCATTTGGCTTAATAAGAGAGTAGTTTATACAGTATTGGGTTTATTTTTCATCAAGTATTCCAGAGAAATCCCTGTAAACATAATGAATATCACTAGACCAAATGAAGTGCAAGCAGTACTGAGGAATGGGCAGGGGCTTCTGGGTACTCCTGATAAACAGAGATCTCGCTGATGTAGTAAAGAATAAACATGACCCTAGGGAGTGCACAAAATTGACCATAGTGCTATATTTTATTCATCAGGAGAACAGTCAAACAATAGGAATATAGTAACATTAGAACGAATGTATACAAAAATAAAACCATTATTTTTATCAGGAAGCTCATGAAAATTGTTACTGGGTAACTTCCTGTGCGCAATGACGATGTAAGATTTAGCTAGTAAAACAATGTTACTGTAGTACCAATTCATGGATACATTTTTTAATCCACTGTCAGTTCTGAATCTAACGTTATTACTTTCAAACTGCTTTATAAGACAAATGCCAATAAAATTACATTCGTCAATTTTGTCTGATTGTGTCATCTTTTTAGGCGAACTCCCCCTTGATTTAAGCACTCCTGTGCTAAAAAGGGGGGAAAAAAAGACAAACTCATATTTCATGTGAACAAACTTTCTATTCAATAGAAATCAGACAAATGCTGTGCACCCTATTAAAAAATTTCTCTGTTTGTCCAAGAATTAATAATGAAGAAAGCAGGAGAATACAGTGTATCTGCTAGGAACAATTTATCTTATAGGATTATCTGTCCTTCCAGAAATTACATTTTAATGAGATGGTAGCAGCTTGAACTAATTAAAAGGCAGAAGTCGAGGTCTGCTCTTGACGAGTAGCTGATGTTTATTATATCCAAGCAGATGGTAGATTGTATTTTGTTACTCCTGTCCTTCTGGGGGTATATTTTAAGTCAATACTACATCTAGAAAAAGTGAGGTGAATTAATCAAAAAAAACCCCAAACAGAAAAGGCATTATCTTCTATTACAGCAACTGAAGTATTCCTTTTGATGACACACATTTACATGTGCTTTTAAAGTAACTGTGTGCATTGATACTTAATACAGTTATGGTCTGTTCTATCTGGGGATTCCTTAAACTGTTGCCATAAGGTTTCTGAGACTGAAGATGGAAAATAAGCAGTGGTGTTATTTCTCATACATCTGATGCTTGAAGGGAGAATAGGATTATCTGTTTTCTGTAGCAAGTGGCAGCTGAAGTGATACAGGGATCACATAAGACAGTTGAAGACTGCCTTATTTTTAAAAGATAAGGATGACAGGTCATTAAGTCAGAGTTAAAATAGCCACTAAATCAAGGGAGTAACATAACTTATGGTTAGATTGGCTCTTCAGTAAGTTGTCCCTTACTGTTATTCCTTCTCCTTTCACATCTGTTATGTTAATTTATCCTAAACTTTAAAGGAAGGTCTGGGTCATACAGAATTACAGATAGATATGCTAAGGATTTTTAAACGCTTTTTAAAAATGGTATCTCAGATTGATGGGTTTATTTTAAGAATACAGATTCCTGCCCAAGGTATTATGTAATTGTTTACATTACATTATTGACATCGTTTCAAAATAGCAATATAATAAACAGAGTTTAAGGAAGATAAATCATGGTCCCAGTGAAATTGTGTGACTCGTAGTAAACTAGTCTGGATTAATATTTATGTTAGGTCAGTCTCCACAGAAGAATTTGATAAGTCTTGTAGGTTGTCTTCATACTCAGCCCTTCCCTCCCTCCAGATTAAATTTCAATTTATATTTAATGCAGCATATTGCCTTCTTGTGTTCTACTCTGGAACTCCAGCTAAGTGACTATCTTTCGAAATACATGTATGTATAAAATATTTTATTTGTGGTTGTGATACATTGTATAGGAACTCCATTATACTGAAGAAGAACTATATCGAACAAAGAATACTTTGCAAAGCAGAATAAAAGACCGAGAGGAAGAAATTCAGAAGCTCAGGAATCAGGTACTCTGTGTGTATTAGAAAATAGCTTTATTACCTTCAGTTATGAAAACAGTGATGAGAATTATTCATTTGATCAAGCAAAAGAAACATAAAGGCTCTACTAATGAGGTACAAAGTACTTGTTTTCAATACAGAGGAGAATTTTGAGTGGAGGTAATCAAGAAGGGAACCGTGAAGTAGTAAATAGCCTAGTTTATAATTGCATGTGCTTTTGTCTTTGGGAGGAAAAAACCTGTGTCCCAGCTAGACCTGATGGGGTGGTGCTGGATCAACATTCTTCTTTTTGAAAACCAAAGAAAGTCATTGGCACTTGATTAGGTCATCATGAATTCTGCAAAAATCCTTTTAACTGGGCATAAGAGCACAAGTCCTACCGACTCAGTGATCCATCTGTTCTGTCTTGGGCAGTGGCAATGGGGCCAGCATGTGAGCCTGACCGCTTTCTTCACTCCCATGTACTCACTCAGCACCAGCAGCTGAATTAGGGACATTAGTGTTTAAGTCCCTACTAAGTCCCACCAGTGTGTTTATGGACCTATTTTCCTTCAGTCAATCTAATCTGTTTTGGAACCAGCTGATAATGGTCAGCCTGCACAGTCTCCTTAGGCAGCATGAAGACATAGGCCTCATGTTGTGTAAATTATTTTAGCATAATAAAAAGTAGTCTGTATGTAGAGAAACTGATAGTCTAGAGGCAGCTATGGTCAGCCATACAGTTATAGTGTCAGAGGATTTGGAAATTGTTGTATTGTGATACGAATTTCTTGAGCCTCTTGGCGGATGTTCTTCAAGTAATACTGGCTGCAGGGCTGCAAGCCCCTGCCCTGGGGCCTTGTATCTGGTTTGTAATGTTGATATCTCACTGCCTCAGGTTCCTACTGATTCTGGTTTTTTCATCATTGAAACCACATCTTTGTGGTATATGATGCTACAAGTGGCTGAGGTCCAAGTGCAGTGAAGAGATGAGCTATTGCACATATGGCTAATCTGGACATTTCCATTTGCTTTTAACATTTTCCGCAAATTGAATGACATGATCGATGTCTTTGCTGTCCTTGCAATTTCTGTTTGCTAGTGCAATCATGTTTCCTGCCTCTGTGCTCCTCAATTCCTCTGCAAGGTATCCTGCATTTTCACCATTTTCATTGAAGGTTTCCTATGCAATGGCATCAGATACTCCCCACTTCTACTGTGTTTTCCCTTCCTCTCCTGAAAACGTTTTACATACTCGTTTTGTGAGGTTGCGAGTATGATAGCCAGACTGGGTTGTCTTGCTATTGTCATGCTAGCATTTAAACTAATTTCTGAGGCATAGCATTGATTTTTGTGATCCAGCGTAGTGATTATACAGAAATGATCATACGATTAGAGGTGGAAAACACAGGAATACATTTTTACATAGAGTTTCTGTGTCACGTAAAATCTTGTTTTAAGACTGTCAAAATTAAGTTTCTTCTTTATTGTGCTCGTTGATGGTCGTTTTGATAATATTATCCCGTAAAAATTCTGCGATGGTGTAACTTGGTTCTTGGTGAGCTTAGATATTTAGAGTTTTGTAACATGTCAGTTGCTCTGACGTTGAACTTACTCTGACATTTTTTTTTTTTTTGCTTTGTTTTTTAGCTCACAAACAAGGCTCTAAGTAGTAGTAGTCAGACAGAATTAGAAAATCGTCTTCATCAGCTGACAGAAACACTAATTCAGAAGCAAACCATGTTAGAGAGCCTCAGCACAGAGAAAAACTCACTTGTCTATCAACTGGAACGACTTGAGCAACAGCTGAAGGCTATCCAAGGCACTGGTACTAATGGACCTTCCATTAATATGGCAGGCATCGACAGTACTGAAGGTAAATAAGGAAATACAGTACTTAAAACTCAGTCCTTTCTGCAGTTCAGGCTTTTATATTTCCTAATGCCTTTCCCTAAAAGTCTGAGTTTATAAGGAAAATTAAAAAAAAAAAGCTGAAACTATGAAGCTTATGTCAGAGTCTTTGTCAACAGCAGCCAGTATCCTATAAAATAGTTGAGTAGAAGCTCCTTTTTGTGTGTGAATGACTTTAAATAAACTTAATAAAGCCAATTTCATCTTTAATTCTCCATACTGTGGCACTTTTGGAATAATCATATTTATAAATCCTGTCACAGATGCAAATAAATCTGTCTTCTGCGGATTAAACTGCATGTCAGAAGCAGGATATAACTCTTGTCTTGTGAAAAGGGTTTGGGAGGTGAGCAAGAATGGGATACTTCCTTTGGAGAGTTGATCAGAATTCTGGTTGAAATCAGTTCCCTCCTCGGTTTCTGATTTTGCTTGAAAAGCAGCTTAAAACACAGCGATTCTGCTGAGGTTGGTTTGTACTGTGTAGCATTCAGGCTGTATCTCTAGAACCTCAGCAGTTGACCCATGGTTTTGAGATGTTACTTTTCAAAGTCTGTGATTTTTGTGTGTATGGTAAGTAACTTAACAAGCAACGAACAGTTACTAAGAGGTGTAAAATGACAATCCAGGCTTCTGTTTCTCTGCTTATGAAAGATTTTTAAAGAAATAAGGCAGGAGAACTAGCAAATTTGAAATTTATTTCCTTTTGGCTTGTTTTTAAGTAACTTCAGTAAGCGTAAGTTTAGTTGCACAGAGGTAACATTATCTGAGAACTTTTTAATAAAGTTGAAACGTAGTAAAAATGGAAATAAAGTAGAAATTTTTTGAATATATAAGTTAGTATCAGAAATGCTATTGAAATTTTACTGTATGAGAGGTAAAAGCAAATGGAGAAGCTGTGACAGTATCAAACCCATCATTTTATACACCTAATATAGAATAATTATTACGTGATAGAACTGAATGTCAAGATGTCCATGTAGTGAACTAGAATAAAGATTAAAAGTATGCTAAGTTTAAGAAACATTTAACTTGACTGTAAGTTTATCAATAATCCTGCCCTCAAAACACACTCCTCTGCTCCCAGCAAAATGGCACTAACAAATCAGATTAATCACTGTTTTTGAATTACTTCAATGTATCATTGTTATACACTATCGATACGTTTAAGTAAAACAACAACTTAGCTGGTGTTAGACTAAAGAGGTGTTTTGCTCTTTTCCCTTCCCATAGGTGCTCGTATGCGTAATGTTCCTGTCCTGTTTAGTGACATGGATGCTAACTTGGCAGGAATGTATGGGAGAGTTCGCAAAGCTGCCAGCAGTATCGATCAGTTCAGGTAAGAGTGTCCTAAGGGAACGCGTTTTGTAATTGCTGGAACCCTTTTGCAGTTTTCAAGCGGCACACTTTCTGTTTTGAATGGCTCCTGTGAAGGTAAAAGTGATAAATAATGGAGCTAAAGTATGGTATGAATTACTCAGTACTGACCTAGTTCACTTGTACTTTTCTATGGATATTGATAACCTTGGGCTTTTGCAGATTATAGTCAGTTATTTAAACAATGCTTTTACAGGTTTTGATACGAGAGAATCCCTAAGCTATGTACAAAAGAACCTAACCTTTTCATTTGCAGAGGTTTCGGCAGTGCCTGTGATAAACACTGTAGGGGTGTATTAGTGGGGGAGTATTACATGTGTTCTTCCGCTCCTCTTTAGGCATCCTGATGAAGACAGGATTATGGGTTCTGACCCAGTGCAGCTGTTTACCTTGAAAACTCTTTGAGGGATTAGTAAACAAAAATCATTCTGGATCCAGCAAAAGTCTTGCTTTAGTCCCTTTTCTGAGCAGTTAGGTTAATTGTCAAGATTCGCAACACAGTTCTGCTCCAAAACTTGAATCAAATCCCAACAGAAAACAAAATTAGGTGATACTGCTTAATGCTTTGAAAGCAAGATGCCTTGCTAGAGAGTTCTTTAGGCCTTCATGGCACTTCGGTTTCATTGTGAAGAATATCAGGATTTCCATGATTGGGAGCTCTTCTGTGTGGTGTTTTAATACTAAACTTTGTTTGGCAGTATCACACTCACCTTGGCATGTACATGGGTCTTTTAACTGACCTTACTGAGCAGACACCTATCTAATGCAGTGTGCTTTGTAGCACTGCAGCAGTAAACTTGCAAACCCCATGCCCTTTATTATCTAATGACATGTAAGAACGGTAGTGATCGCTCAGTGTTTTCAAAGGAATCCAAGGGTTTAGTTGCTTAAATCTTTTTGAAAGATTCATGGCAGCTCCTCAAGTAACAAAATTTGACAAATATATAGCATATTTGTGAGTTTTAAAACACCTGTACAACTCTTGAGTCTTGGCTCTTTTCACCACCTCTGAGCCTAGGATGTACCAGAAAAGCTTAGGAGAATGTTTTATGGTCTGAATTCTGAGTTTTCTCACTCCATTTAATGTCCTGGACACATGAAATAAAGTCAAACAAAGCCAAAGCCGTGCGTATCGCATCAGCTGATGTGAGTTTGTGGTGATCGGAGTGAGAGGAACAGGAACTTACTGCTCAGCGTGAACTTATGCGTTGTGTTGTTCTCTTGCATAGCATTCGGCTGGGGATCTTCCTAAGGCGGTATCCCATAGCAAGGGTCTTTGTAATCATTTACATGGTGAGTAAGCTTTCTTTAAAGTGAGAAGTTTCATGTGGGTTTTTTATAGCCAGTTTATATAATAATTCTGAAATTGCAAGACGTTTGATGTTCAAAATGGGTTTAAACTGAAAGTGGGGAGATTTAGATTAGCCATCAGGAAGAAATTCTTCCCGGAGAGGGTGGTGAGGCACTGGAACAGGTTGCCCAGAGATGTTGTGGATGCCCCATCCCTGGATGTCTTCAAGGCCAGGCTGGATGTGGCTTTGAGCAACCTGGTCTAGTGGAAGGTGTCCCTGCCCATGGCAGGGGGGGTGGGACTAGATGGGCTTTAAGGTCCCTTCCGACCCAAACTGCTCTGTGATTCTATGAAAAGGCTGTGTCATTAACAACTCATTGTAACTTTTTGCAAAGCGCACTCAATAGTGCTTACAAAACAGCATCTTGGAGTCGTGTTGCCTGGCAGTTTTCAGTTTTTCCCAGGAATTCTTAATAGAGCAGTCTTTAAAGGCGTTTATGTAACTACCAATTGAACGACTGTAAAAGTAGGGTTTTAGTATTAAAACAGAGAATAATAATGACCTGTTGCCACGGTTAACCCACCACACCTGTGTGCACTGCAATTAGGAAAATGACATGTTATAGCTTTTTTGATATTTGGCATCTCACTTTTTGTTCAGTGACTAATAATCACACTTCACTACTAGCTGAAAAAGTAGCAAGAAAAGTTGTTTTTGCTCGACTTAAACAACTAGTAGAAAACTGCTCATCCATACTGGATGAGGTTGTCAGACTCCTCATTTCTGAGATTGTCAGAATTGATAAAAACTAAACTCCTCCGTTTTCCACTAGAGGGCAGATGTCTGACAGTTTAAGGTAGGTGTGCACTCTACCCTCCTTGGAAACATTTCTCTAGTTGAGCCTTCGAGTCTTTGAAATGAAAAAAAGTGTTGCTTGAGAAGGCATCATGATTCCTCTGAACAGAGTTTCTGACAACAGCCGTCACTCTTTCAGGATATAAAGCAAGCAGACACACATGAATAAAGGAAATTACAGGTTCCCCTTCAATTGCTTCCTCCAGTTTGTTCGGTACTGGCAGGGCTGTTGAATTCCTAACCCCTTAGACTTATCAGTGTATGAATAAAATACCTTGTACCAAAACGCCGGAGACTTCTACCGCCAAAGCTGCTGCCTGAAGGGAAACTCGGTGATGGCTGCGCAGGAGCAGTATATGGGGCAGTCAGTGGCAGTTACCCTTTTTCAACTTCAGCCTTGTCTATGACTATTGTGGCTTATATATTCTATCAGTTATCTCCCTGGTTGCAGCCCCAGCAACTTCTATTCTAATTGGATAGTTTCAGCCAAATTTGCCTGCGAATTAACATTCCTAAAATGTTCATTAAAATGCCTCAAATCGGTGCCTGTGGGAGGGAAAGCAGCACTCAGCTGTTCTGCACGCTCTGGTATCAGCCAGTTGGCACACAAGTAGTGGCTTACCAGTCACTCAAGGCAGATCACCCAGTGTACTGGCTGGGGACTGGATATCAGGGAGAACAGCTGGAGTTACTGGGGCATGGGGGGAAAGAGGCGCCAGAGGACATCATTCTGTAGGAAACCACGCTGCTTTAGTCTGGCTGTTTGTTTTAAATCTTTAGTTTTCTGCAAATGGCTTCTTCAGAATCTGACTTAACATTGTTTATTTAACATTTAACTTAGCATTGTTTATTTAAATATTTAAGTGAAATATGTCTATAAAACTAGGTTTTATTGGCTCTTATACTTACGGCTGCTGTGAGCAATGACTGTGCTGATAAGTTAATTCCTTCTTCTGTTTTCATAGGCATTGCTTCATCTCTGGGTCATGATTGTTCTGCTTACCTACACCCCAGAAATGCATCATGACAGCCCCAGTGGGAGATAGGCTGAGACAGGGCCGTATGCTGTGCTAATGTAATTTGGACTGGCGCTGTCTTTAATCAGTCCCAAAATGTCAGCAAACTTTCCCTTGTGGTTTTTAGGAAGAATGAAGACCATCACGCCTGATTTATCACTACTCTTCAAATACTTGTGTAATACTCTGTAGCTTTTTCAGTTTACCTGAAGGAGTGACACTTCCCTGGAGAAATACAGCTATTAAGTTAAGCTATGGTTAGCCTTTACATTTTACGTAGGCCTTCTGGTGCTTAGTGTGAAAGATAAGGGTTGCACCTACAGAGGAATGCAAGGATTTCTGAAATTACAGATATATATGACACAAGCTATTTTAGATCATACTGGTTGTGGGCAGGTAATAAACTGTACTTAGCAATTTAAATAAAGTTTATTCTTTCTGGTTTCTTTCAGTCTGCTTTTGCACTTCTGTTTTTAACTTTGTAAGTAACAGGCTTTTCCCGGACATGTTAAATTGAAAAAAGGACAATGGATTGGTGCAATATCTTTTTGTAAATAAGTTTAAAAATAAAATATTATGCATTCTTCTCAGCTTTGTACTTCCCATGCAACAGATGTGTCTTCCCTACCAACTGAATAATGACACCGCCTCTAAAGGCTGGTATTTTAGCTTTAGTAGAGAAAGAGAAGGATGGTTTTGAGAAGGAATGTTCAAATGCTTTAGAAATAATGGTGTTTCTTTTTGCACTTGAAATGTATATATTTTAACTACATATTCTTATACCTCTCTCATTACTGCGTGTCTTAATCAGATCTTGTTGAAATATTTATTTTCTAAGCTTTGGGTACTTAATTGAAACTATTTCTATACAAAAATCTATCAAAACATCAAAAATTTCTCATGTATAAACACTTAGGAAATATACTGATAAACCAACCTCATCAAATATTGAACATAAACCCCATAACACCAAACCTGCTGTAATAGTTCTGTCGTGGCATTCTGTAATCATGAATTCTCAATACGTAGTGATACAAGGTCACTTTCTCTGCCTAAGGAATTTCTTGTTTTCTGGTGTGATGCTCAAAGCTGAGTAATGAAACGATGACTACGAGCAATTTGTCACTCCTGCTATTAAGCCTACAGCTCGGTTTTCACGTGTCTTGAAGACACTCACCGTTACACGCCGCCTGTCATGCCACGGAGACGTTACAGTTGATAGTGCCTGTATTGCTGTTCCGGTTCCGATCTTGCAGTGAAAACTGAAATGTTTTGATGAACCAAGGAATAAAAGCGAGCGTTCACTGCAAGCTGTGTCCCTGCCCTCTGTGTCGCATGTGCTGCAGCGCTTCGCCTAACTCCTGTTGCCCGTTTTCTTTTCAATTCGGGTATTGAAGCCACTTTTGAACCCTGGGGGGAGCTGATTGTTATGGAAGGAGCTCAGGTAAGGTCTTTCCTGCCATCTCTTCCTATGCACATGCGTTTTGTTCATTTAAACCTCCAAAACACTGAATTTTTGGATATTCCAGCGTACTGTGACAATGTGGGGAGAACATTCTTAGTGGTATAAACCCCTTGCAGTTTTGCTGATGTCAGACCAACTGCACGTCTATTCTTGCTTCCTTTCTCCTTATGTTTTTCTCTTTTTTCCTTCCTTTTTGCTATTTTTGTAGAGATCCCCTCTTGGAATCCACAGATACTTAGTGGTGGTGGTGTAACTGAGTAAAGCCATGCAGTGCTTCTAGAACCCTGTATCACAGATCCATACTTTTTTATTCAGTTCTTCTAGATTCTGTGCTAGAAATTTTAGAGGGTTAAGCACGGAAAGATTCTTGCTGGCTGTTGCCTTTGAACTAGGCTCTTGTATTCCAGTGTCAGCTTGGGCTCAGCTGGTGTTGGCCCCTGTGGTGTCTCGGAGTTGAGAATAATGGCTTTAGCGCAGTGCGCTGGAGTAGCACCAGCCTTGTGTCCCTGACCTCTGTGTGTGCTGCTGTGGTGGTTCTGGTTTTATTCCTTGTCTGTGAAGTGATGTATAACGTACTTTTCTTGTTGCAACTTCAGTCCCCATCTTTGCCATCTGTAAATTTTCCTTCCTTTTTATTAATACTTGTAAAAGAAGGGCACAGCTGGTTTGAGTACCTGATTATATCCTGATTTTGAAAATGTGCAACGTTAACAACCGAACTCTAAATCAATGTGTTTTCACCTAGTAAAAAAACCTGGAAGCAGGCAGCTTATAGTTGCAACTCCTGGCCAGATGAAGGGCCGTTCGGTGTGGAGACTAACATGGGATGAGGAAACGAATGCTGCGGTGCCACTACAGGCTATGCTGCCGTTTATGTAAACACCTCTGAAGAATTCTGAGTTGAACAGCAGGACATACTTCCTGCCTCGGATCAGCAGTGTCGGGCTCCGATGGCCTCCAGAGATTTGTGAAGTGTGCCACAGCGCCAGGTCAAAGGTGGCATCAGGACACCATTGCAACCAGCAGCTCCTAATGGGGTCAGGAGGTTGTGTTGCTGAACAGATGGCTTGGGGGCGAACAAGAAGCTTCTGTGAGCCTGCGTCGTAAGTGGCGGGAGGATGCTCCAAGCGCCAAGTCTGTTCTTGAGGGACTACCGTACTGCTCGGCAGTTACACTGCCCCACTTCAGAGACCGGCAGAGCAATTCATGGGGTTAAAAAATACTTCACAAATGCTGAGCCTGTCTTTCCATGCTCTGTAGCCTAGCACCAGAAATAAAAGGCTGTAGTAACAACGCACAGAAAACAGCAATACCTGTCTCCCAGCTGCAGTAGCTCGCTGTCCCGAAAGCGCAATAGGCTGTTGGGTGGCTGAAGAACAGCCCTTTTTCGTTTCCTTCCTGCTACGACTGAAACTGCTGCAGGTACCAAACATACACCTCAAAAGAACAAAAAAAGATGAAAAATGGGGAAGAGGGGGTTGGTAGGGAGCAGCAAATTATTTATTTATATTCCTATTCTCCCTCCCCATTTATGCCCGGTTGGTGTGCTGTGATCAGAAGGACAGAGTGCATCATGCTGCCTTTCTGGAAGGATAGAGATGTCCCTTCGGGGTCGTCTGGCAGCAGGCTCGGGGGGAGCAGCTGTCAGGCTGCAGGCAAGGGTGGGAGCTGCTCAGGCAGAGGAGGCTGCGGTGGGAGGTAGGATGGGTAGCAAAGAGCAAGACTGGTATTTTGCAGCCTAGAAAAGGCCTGTTTCTTTCAGAGGCTGGTCACCTTGGTGCACATTCAATTAGGTAGATGCACTTGTTTGTGCGAAAGCTGTCTTTGTGTGAATACTCACAAGCCCCTGCGTGGTAGCAAACTCTTTGCCACCTCGGTTTGCTGGTATTTGATATCTCTGCTTTATTTACTGAGCGAGGTCAGCCGTATCTATACCAAAACCTGACATGAAGGAAGTGACTTTGTTCCTTGATTGCAGACAACGTTAACAAGGGGGAAATCAGACTTGAACAATAATTATGTTATTAATTTCTAATCCGTATGAGAGACAGGTGTTGCTTTGCCACAGACAGTGGATTTCTTTGCTTCCCTCCTCCTTTGCTGACTGGTTGCATCCTGGTTGTAAGATTTCCCATGAATGGGTTGTTAGGTATTGAGCCATGAAACTATAAGGCAATTTTCATGAATAACAGGGAGAATTAATTAGAATTTCAATTGCTTTCCTCTGTATGTTACCATCTTGTCCTATGACTTGAGTTCAGAAAGCCTTGACTTGAGAACAGGCAAACCAGAAATTAAGAGAGATGAATATTAACTCCCCAAATTACCTGCATTATTCTAACAGGCATCCATGTGCATGCACTCATATAAATGATACTCTTGGGCATATAGTTCCCTTTTGGATATACACTCATGAATTTAATCTGTATCTTAGGGTACATGATGGGCTGCAGGCAGAACTGGACCCCACCACTGAATTCCACAAATAGTGGAATTACCTTCCAGGCTTTTCCTGCCTAATATTGCTTCCTGCCAATATAGCTTGTGCATCAAGGGGTCAGTGCAAGCTGTTCAGAGAAGTATCCAGCGCTACAGGCATCTCAAGGAACAAGGGGAGTTGTCGTTTGTTGAACAGATATTAAAGTAAGTGAATGAAGGTGAGGAAAAAGCTTGGTCTGGGAGCACAAAGACTCTTTTTCAAGTTGGAGGGAAAAACCAAAAGCTGCTGATTTATGGCTAATAAACTCTGCTAATGACATGGTTAAAAGTCTGACAAGTTAACTCTCATGTAAGAGACTTATGTGAAAAGAATATATAATAGAATGATAACCTTTTGTGCCATGACTTAGGGTTCTCTAATCAAGGAATCAGAAGTATGGATGGGTGTTTTGTCTAAAATTGACCTTTTCTGCACTGGAACTTAACTCTTTTCAGATAGGTGTTGTGTGTGCAGGTTTTCATGTTTGCATGTTCAGTTCAAACCAGGCAAATTGTATTTTGAGTCCACATTTGTTGAAGAGAAACTGGAGTGGGACACAAATGAGCAGGACCCTGAGCTCTGTGGCAGCAAGCGGATGGGCTCCGGGTGTTCTGCAAAATCAAGCAGGTGTGTTTGATAAAGGTCATCGATAAGAAAATGATGTTCTCATTTGCTATAGGTACCAAAGCTGTAATTAATCAGTTGCAGCAAAATACCTGATACGATATAGGAAAGATCTACGCTTGGAGGAATGGGATGAAGTGAATGTTGTTTTATTCACATAGAAAAGGAGTCTGTTTTGTCACTCATGGTGAAGAGAAACATTACCAAAGACTGCACTTTCTCCAGTCTAGTGCTAATGTACACGGTATGTTTTCTCAAAAGCTTATACACAAAATATGACCTTAACACTAGCATCTCACAGCAACCTAGAACAGAGATAATTATTTAAAAGCAAATTCAAGCAACAGTTAAGTCCTAAATTGCTTTATTAAAAAAATTAAGCAGCTTGTTGCAAGCATTTGCATTGATGTATTTAGTGGCAAGAAAATGATTCACAATTAGTGTTTAATTGGTAATTAGAAAACATATTCTGCTGGATGAGGAATGGGAAATGCCAGTTTTCTGCCCAAACAGGTAGGTGCTCGTGGACATCCTTGCCTGTGAGTGTGCCACCCCCCTTGCAGCATCCCTGGCAAGCTGGGAGGGAGCCTTCCAGTTTCACTCCAGCAGCGAGAGCTCAGGAGGTTGCACAGAAGCAGCAGATGAAGCAAAGAGCAGAAATTTGTATTTCCCCAGCTGTTCATGCTGGTGTTCAAAGCCTCCCCATACAGTAAAGCC